AGGACAAAAATAAACCAGAGAGTGAGTTCACGGGAACAAGATAACAGTAATACAGAAGTGGAATACAAAGTTGTGGTGGAATTTCAGCAAGAAAGGGGTTATATTCATCCGATAAAGATAACCAAAGCAATAGAGGAAGAGATAGGGAAAATCAAAACGGCCAGAATCATGAACAACAGAAAAGTGATAATTCAAGCTATCAGTGAGGCACAACAACAGAAGATAATCAAAATGAAAACTCTGATGGGAGAACGAGTTAAATCACATATACCAGGTTTTATGGCAAGGTTGAGAGGAGTAATCTCAGGAGTTCCACTTGAAATGACAATGGAGGAGGTGAAGAATGAAATCAAAGGAGGGAAAATAACAAATGCCACCAGGATTAAAAGTAGAAGAGAAGGGGAACTCAAAGACACTATGGCTGTGATATTGCAGTTTGAAAATAACATGCCAGAAAATATACAGCTAGGATTTATGAACTATAAAGTTAGAGAGTACATCCCGAAACCGCTCAGATGTTTTACCTGCCAAAGAATGGGACACATTGCAAAAGATTGTAAGGGAAAAATTAGATGTGCAAGATGTGGAGGACCACATGAATTTGGAAAGTGTGACAAAGACGCCAAAATCAAATGCTGTAACTGTGGTGGTGAGCATAGTGCAGCCTATGGTGGATGTATAGTTCAAAGGGAAGCTAGAGAAGCCCAGAAAATAAAGATAACAGAAAGAGTTTCTTACGCAGAAGCATTAAAAAGAATAAAGAAAGATAGTAAAAGAGGAATGAGGCTGGGAGAAGCAGATCAAAGTTACACTTCTCAGAACACAAATCAAGGAATGAATGGTCAGAGACAAATACTAATGCCAACAACAAATACAAATAATACATGTTTACATAAATGTAAAATAGAGGAAAATACAATGATGGTGAAAAAAGAAAACTTTGTAGCATTTATATGTCATGTTATTAATGTTACAGTCCAAATGAAGAAGAAAAGTGATAAAATAAAAGAAATAGTAACAGCAGCAGGGAGATTCCTAGATATGAAAGAAATTCAAGCAGATCAAATACATACCATTTTGAGTGCCACTGAAATAACAGAAAATGGTCAGGATTAGGATACAAGCTTTATTGATGGTCATTCATATTCTACAATGGAATGCCAGAAGTATAATAGCTAATGGACAAGAATTTAAAAAGTATATTTATGAATTAGAAGTAATACCAGATGTAATATGTATACAAGAAACATGGTTAAACTCAAACTTGGATTTTAAAATTCCTGGATATAATATAGAAAGACAGGATAGAAGTAATGGTAGTGGCGGAGGATGTGCCACTTTAATTAAGGAAGGAATTGCTTACAAGAAAAACTCATTAAATAAAAAAATAGAATGTGTAAATATAGAAATATTTAATTTAAGGAAACAAGGAAATATTAAAATCATTAATTATTATAATCCGTGTAAAAATCTAGATAATGAAATATTTAAGGAAATAGGGAAAATACATAGAAGAGAAGTTTGGTGTGGAGATTTTAATGCTCACAACAGTCTATGGGGTAGCAAGAAAACGGATCATAATGGTGAAATAGTGGAAGAATTAATGGATGAAAGGTCATTAGTTTGTCTTAATAATGGAAAAGGTACAAGAATAAATATACATAAAAATTCAATCTCATGTCTAGATATTACATTAGTATCTGACTGTCTTGTTAGTGCATGTGAATGGGATGTAAATGGGGAATCTACACTAGGGAGTGATCACTTTCCAGTGAGTACAATAATTAATGATAATATAAATAGACAAGAAGAGTTTACATTAATAAGATGGTGCTTTAATAAAGCTGATTGGTTTAAATTTAAAACAAAATGTGAAGAAACAAGACATATAGTAACATTAAAAGGTAATATTGAAGAGTGTACAAATCAAATAGTAGAAAATATTCTAAATGCTGCAAATTACAGCATACCAAAAATAAAAGTGAAAGGTCAGAAGAAAGTAGTTCCTTGGTGGAATAATGAATGCAGTAAAACTATTAAAGATCGTAATAAAGCTTTTAAAATACTACAGAAAAATCTAACAATCGAAAACCTTATTGATTATAAAAGGAAAAGAGCAAAAGCTCGGAAAACTATAAAGGATGCAAAAAAGAAAACGTGGAGAGACTATTGTTCATCAATAGGTTCAGAAGTTAATTTACAGAATGTGTGGTCAATGTTTAGAAAAATGACGGGGAAAAAGAACAATGTCAATATTCCATCCTTAGTCAGAGGACAGGAGGTATTGGTTTTAAATAAAGATAAGGCAGAGTTATTAGGAGAGACATTTGCGGCAGTTCATAGTGGTGATCACTTGACAAATACCCACAGAAGGCAGATGATTCAAAAACTTGGAAATCATAAAAACTCACTAGAAAAATGTCAAAAATATATGTCAACATTGGATATGAATATAACCATGAAAGAAATAAAAACAGTATTGAAAGGGACAGGGTATTCAGCTCCAGGGGAAGACCAGTTATGTTACGCTATGTTTCGACAGATTCCGGAAGTAACACTGAAATTAATATTAGAATTATTTAATAAAATATGGAAAGAAGGAACAATACCAAATAGTTGGAAAAGGGCAATAATTTTACCATTTAATAAGCCAGGTAAAGATCCTTCCTATCCAAATAATTACAGACCAATTGCTCTTACTTCCCATTTAAGTAAATGGATGGAGAAAATAATGGTTAATAGATTAGGATACTATCTTGAGAAGAATAATCTAATAAATGGATATCAATGTGGATTCAGAACTGGAAGATCAACAATCGATGCTCTAACTAGAGTCAGTAATGACATAGAGAAAGCTTTAAAAATGAAGGAAATAATGATTATAGTATTTTTTGACATAGAAAAAGCATATGACTCACTATGGAAAGAAGGATTACTTATAAAAATGAAACAGATGGGAATAGGTGGGAGAATGTATAATTGGATAGCAAATTTTCTACTAAATAGAAAAATAAGAGTAAAAATTGGGAATGACTATTCAAATGAATATAATGTTGAAAATGGAATACCACAAGGTAGTGTAATTAGTCCAATTTTATTTAATATTATGATCAATGATATTTTCTATGAAACTGATAAATGTATAAAATCTGCACTATATGCAGATGATGGGGCCATATGGATGAAAGGGAAAAATATTAAACATGTTGTAGAAAATATTAAAAAAGCAATTAGTAAAGTTGAAAAATGGTCTTATGAATGGGGTTTCAAATTATCAGCAACCAAATCTTGCTATATGGTTGTCACAAAGAAGAGAAATATTAATATAGAAACAATAACATTATATGGACAGACTTTAGAAAGAGTAACAGAATATAAATATCTAGGTTTATGGTTGGACAGTTCTTACTCATGGAAAACACATATAGATAACTTAGAAACCAAATGTAAAAAAGTTATTAATATATTAAAGGCTGTGGCTGGAAACAATTGGGGGGCAGATAGACAGTCATTATTAAGCATATACAGGGCTCTAATGAGAGCAATAATAGATTATGGCAGCATTATATATGGAGCAGCAGCTAAAACATCATTACAAAAAATAGAAAGATTACAGTGTAGGGCTTTACGAATATGTACAGGAGCAATAAAAACAACACCTATTAATGCTCTATTAATTGAAAGTGGGGAAACTCCACTTGAAATGAGGAGAATTAAATTAGCTTTAGCATATTGGATGAAAATTAAAAGTAATATAGATAATCATGTGAATTCAACTATTCTGCAAAATTGTTGGGAATATGTGAAGTTCCAAAGTAATGGATTTGGATGGATGGTTAGGAAATGGATTAAAAAGTATAGACTAGAAGACAAGGAAATAGCTCAATTTAACCCAATTAGCGTTATTCCTCCATGGCTAATACCTGAGGTTAATGTAGATTTGCAAATCAATACAATGAAAAATGATTGGAATATAAATGAAATAGGGATAAAAACTGATATTTATTTAAGAACTACATATAATAATTACCTTAAAATTTATACAGATGGTTCTAAAAATCTAAAAGGTTATGTGGGTATAGGAATATATATCCCAGAGTTTAAAAAATGTATTCACAAAAGAATATCAGATCAATTGTCGGTATTTACAGCAGAAATGGTGGCAGTTATATTAGGCTTGCAATGGGTGGAGGAGATTCGACCAATCAGGGTGGTGGTGTGCACAGACTCTAAAGCAGTAGTGGAAAGTATTAAGGGAGAAGGAAATAATAGAAAAGATTTGGTATTAGAAATTCATCATATTTTATTTAGACTATATAGGGGTGGCATTGATGTTTGGTTTTGTTGGGTGCCGGCACATGAAGGAGTAAAAGGCAATGAAAAGGCAGATAAATTAGCTAAAAGGGCTTTAGAGGGGGAAATAACGATTTCAATTCCTTTTGGAAAAGGGGAAGGGAAATCACTTATTAAAAGTAAAGAAATGGAGGAATGGCAAAAAATATGGAACGAAGATAGGAAAGGAAGAAGATTATATGAAGTGCAAAAGTCAGTTCGAATTCGAAACATTAATGAAAGAAACAGAAGAGAAGAAATAATAGTTAGTAGATTAAGAATAGGTCATACCTACTTAAATGACATGCTTTACTTAATAGGGAGGAAAAATAGTGAGAAATGTGAGAAATGTGGTGAAAAAGAAAATGTAGAACACATACTGATGAACTGTAAGTTATATGAACACGAAAGGGAAAAATTAAAGAGAATAGTTAGAAGTATAGGGCATGAATGGAATCTTAAAGGAATATTAGGAAATGAAGGAAACATAACAGATATTCATAAACTAAGGAAAGCATTGTTTTTGTATCTTAAGAATACAAAATTAAAAAATAGAATCTAATAGATGTGAAGTAACGCTGCTACACACTCATGTACAGTAGGTGGCGGTATGCACCTTAAAGTTGCTTGTGATCCGCCATAATAGAAGAGAAGAAGAAGAAGAAAATTAAAAACTAGGCAAGATGTTGAGGTTTCATTTCAGAATATCGAGCCCTGATAAGCACGACTACAAGATATAGTGTTAATGAGCGGAGGAGCTGTTTGTAGCACACGCTTTCAACAAATAGACCAATACTTTAATATATCTGCGTTGAATTTTTGTTTATAATGTCAACTGTGTCTTTTTTTAAAGTAGTATCAGACTGTAACGTTTAGGTTTCGGTGTTCGAGTATATCTGAAATGACTCTGCAAAAAATCACGTCGATAGGGAGGTCCTGCTCAGGTTTGTGATTTATAGAGAAATAATTGACCATGTCTGCTAATGGGAAAGTCATCCCGCACACCCCGCTGGTTGTAGACTTTTGGCATGTAAGGAAATGCCCTGGCAGCAGACTGTTCTTCCTGACCCACATGCACAGCGACCACACGGTGGGTCTGACGTCCACATGGAGCAACCGGCCCATCTACTGCTCCCCCATCACCGCCTCCCTGCTCAGGCTCAGACTGCAGGTGAGCCAGACTGGAAAACAAACACTATAATGGATGTTTAACACAGAAACTCGCATCTATTAACACCATATCCAGTTACTTAAACTAATGAAAGCCTCATTGTGGCGCCTTATTAGACTTAGACTTGGATTTATTTGTCCTTTTGTTTACACAAGTGTAAAACAAAAAGTTTAGAACAGCTCTCTGGACAATTTCTTTTTTTTTTTCAGTGCAGCCTTGAAAAGTAGTAAAAAAATATCTATAAAAAAACATTAATATAAATATATGACTTATATTTACATATATACATAAATAAACATAATTTTCAGTACTAACATTTCAGTTTTTTTTTATATACAGGTGCTGGTCATAAAATTAGAATATCATGAAAAAGTAGATTGATTTCAGTAATTCCATTTAAAAAGTGAAACTTGTAGATTATATTCATACATTACATACAAACTCATATATTTCAGATGTTTATTTTGTTTAATTTTGATGATTACAAATGACAACAAATGAAAATCTCAAATTCATCATATCAGAAAATTAGAATATTGTGAAAAGGTTCAAAATTGATGGCCCCTGGTGCCACACTCTAATCAGCTAATTAACTCAAACCACCTGCAAAAGCCTTTAAATGGTCTTTCAGTCTAGTTCTATAGGCTACACAATCATGGGGAAGACTGCTGACTTGACAGTTGTCCAAAAGACGACCATCGACACCTTGCACAAGGAGGGCAAGACACAAAAGGTCATCGCTAAAGAGGCTGGCTGTTCACAGAGCTCAGTGTCCAAGCACATTAATAGAGAGGCGAAGGGAAGGAAAAGATGTGGTCGAAAAAAGTGTACAAGCAAGAGAGATAACCGCACCCTGGAGAGGATTGTGAAACAAAACCCATTCAAAAATGTGGGGGAGATTCACAAAGAGTGGACTGCAGCTGGAGTGAGTGCTTCAAGAACCACCACACACAGACGTATGAAAGACTTGGGTTTCTGCTGTCGCATTCCTTGTGTCAAGCCACTCTTGAACCACAGACAGCGTCAGAAGCGTCTTGCCTAGGCTAAAGAGAAACAGGACTGGACTGCTGGTGAGTGGTCCAAAGTCATGTTCTCTGATGAAAGTAAATTTTGCATTTCCTTTGGAAATCAAGGTCCCAGAGTCTGGAGGAAAAGAAGAGAGGCACTTCATCCACGTTGCTTGAAGTCCAGTGTAAAGTTTCCACAGTCAGTGATGGTTTGGGGTGCCATGTCATCTGCTGGTGTTGGTCCATTGTGTTTTCTGAGGTCCAGGGTCAACGCAGCCACATACCAGGAAGTTTTAGAGCACTTCATGCTTCCTGCAGCTGACCAACTTTTTGGAGATTTCATTTTCCAACAGGACTTGGCACCTGCACACAGTGCCAAAGCTACCAGTACCTGGTTGAAGGACCATGGTATCCCTGTTCTTAATTGGCCAGCAAACTCTCCTGACCTTAACCCCATAGAAAATCTATGGGGTATTGTGAAGAAGAAGATGCAATACACCAGACCCAACAATTCAGAAGAGCTAAAAGCCACTATTAGAGCAACCTGGGCTATCATAACACCTGAGCAGTGCCACAGACTGATCGACTCCATGCCACGCCGCATTGCTGCAGTAATACAGGCCAAAGGAGGCCCAACTAAATACTGAGTGCTGTACATGCTCATACTTTTCATGTTCATACTTTTCAGTTGGCCAACATTTCTATAAATCCTTTGTTTTTATTGGTCTTCAGTAATATTCTAATTTTCTGATATGATGAATTTGAGATTTTCATTTGTTGTCATTTGTAATCATCAAAATTAAACAAAATAAACATCTGAAATATATGAGTTTGTATGTAATGTATGAATATAATATACAAGTTTCACTTTTTAAATGGAATTACTGAAATCAATCTACTTTTTCATGATATTCTAATTTTATGACCAGCACCTGTGTATATATAATGATTAAATATAATAAAATACAATACAAAAACCCATTTTACAAAATATTGAGCAGTCAAATGGCAGTGGGGAAGAAACTTGAGGAATCTGTTGGACCTGCATCCAATGCTTCGAAGCCTCTTCCCAGAGGAAGATGATTATTATTATTCAGCAAGAATAACAGCTGTAAATAACAAAAATAATGATTATGGCCTAGTTCCCATACATCATATCAATTGCAGAAACGAGTTCCCTCTACAGTAGGCCTATTAGTGTATACAAAATACAGACAACTGTTTGGATAGTTTTACTTTTCTAGGCTCTGGGGGCTGGTCCGGCAGGGAGCCAGCAGGTGGGTCCAGGCTACCATCACTGTAGAAGCTGTAACTTTATGATGAAAGTTGGTGAGGAAACTTGGGTGTTGGCTCATGGACCTACAGTTACACTTTCATTCGGCTAATTTTCCAAAAATGAGCTCAAACATGTATTTATTGAATGCTTTCCTATTTTTTGAGAACACCAGACCACAACACACTGATATTTATATTTATAGATGTTAGAGAGATGCCTTTTAGTGCATTACAAATATAGGGCCAAAAAACATTAGCCTGACGTAGTCCTACTCAATTCTAGTCAGAATATGAGTCTGATACTGCTCCATAGAGCTGTGATTATGGGGCGTGTTTTGAACGAACCAGGAAAAAAAATGATTCTGCACTCAATTGGATAGATCTACAACCAATAAGAGCAACGGAGTGCGTGACGTATGTTAAGCGAGGCATAGTTGTTGTCCACAAAAATCAAAGCGTGCAGTTTCACGCCTAGAATAAGAAGATGAGACTTGATCGCGTTTCTCTGTTCCTCTTTTAAAATTAATTGCTGTCGATATCTTCTAGAACAGACCTAATAGCAGAATCTACTCACCCAAACTCTCCAGCGGCAGCCATTATTGTTGTCACCCTAGCGCGCTTTGGTCACGTGGTTGATTACGTTACTCTTGATCATCTGTCCATCATCGTATAAAGCCCGCCCTGACAATTTGATTGGATCGCCTGACAGTGGGCGATAATACTCGCGCTACTATGGAGCAGAGCCAGACCGAACTTCCCCGAACTCAAACCTTGTGGGCGGGACTAAGTTCTGACTGGCACCCAGGCTACAAAAACATTAATGCATGGAAAAAATAATAAGAGCCGATTCCAATGCCAAAATTCATAAATCCTGCATCCCTAGAAGTACAATTTCAATTCCATCCAGAAAAATATGGATATTCCTCTTTTTAAATATAGCATAGCATTTTTTTTTCTTGTAAACTTTGTGGTTAACTTGGAAATATATTTGATTGCATGTTGCATATCCCAGTCAATCTGTTTCCCCTTTAAATCTGCAGCTCTCCCTACTTCTCTCTGTTTAAAAAGATTTATGAACCTATTTACTAATATGATGATGCCAGAAACAAAATTTCAAGGTATGTAGAAGCTCTGCAGTCTGATTCTGTCTGTTCAATAGAAAACATGTTAATTTAGCCTTTAACTGGGAGTCATGGTCCTCAGAGAAGCCCAGATTTTTTTAACTGGTAAAGAAGAACAAACTGTTTTATCAAGCTTCTTGCATTATATTACTAACTTGTATGAACTTACAATCTGTTGCAATTTTTAGCTGAAAAAGCTCTGTATGTCTAACAAACAGATTTTTCGGTGGCATCTCTAATTTTTTAACTAATCGTCTCCTAACTTTTACATAAGCATCCATCGAAGTAGCTGCTGGTTAATACTCTCTGAATGCTGCTGTGCGTCTCTCATCCAACCACATAGCTACTCTTTACGCAGTGAAATGCAACCGCAAATCAGATGTCTCAAAGCGACAGATCCGATGATGTTACACTGAGATGCGTGACACAGGAGCAGCGCGAAAGAGGGAAAAAAACATGGACTCAAAACGCTCTAAACACACTTAGCTGCACCCAACCTCTGCTACCTCTGCTGGCTCCCTGCCCCCGTCCGGCGGGGTTCCAGGCTCTGTTCCAGTGCCCGGTGTGTTTTGACTACATGCCGCACTGTATTCGACCAAAATCCCGGATGATTTTTGAAATTTCCCCCGGACATTTTTTTAGGTATGAAAATTAGGACCTGTCCGGGAAAAAGAGGACGTCTGGTCACCCTATGCAGGGTGATTAGACTACTAGAGGTATTTCAAACCAAAGTTTGAAGAAGTTAGTTTAAAAACTTCCATCATACTGTTTCTATGTTTGATGATCCTTTAATTAGATGCCACAGTGACAATATTTTCCCCTATGTTGAGCTTTAAATTTATGCATTACCTGTTTACTGTGCACTGTCTATCAGCAGACAGCAAGAGGGGTACTTCTTTGTCTCCTTTCTAAAAGGAAAGAAGAAATCCACTGGCTGGATTAGGGCTTAAACAATCAGATTAATCCTGAATAATTGATTATCAAAATAATCGTCTGTAATTTAGTAAGTGATTAATCGTTAACTGGAGTATAGAGACTGTAAAACTTGACTTTAGCTGACAGAGCAACCCACTAAGAGCAGTAATTATACCAACATTGTGAAAAAAAGTAATATTCTATATCTATTTTGTATTTAAGATAAGAAAAAAAAAATCTCCTGTCAATATGTTCTTTCCAGCACTCCTCAAGTGGAAAAGTTTTAGTTTCACCTGGTTTATTTGAGTAAAAAGTCTACTTTAAGGAACCTTTTGGTATCCGATTATTAATCGATTAATAGGAAAAATTATCCACAGATTAATCGATTTGCTAATAATCATTAGTTAAAGCTCTAGGCTGGATATATTTCAATTTGGAAAAGATAAGAAACAGTTATATGGGTTCTGGCAATTGGCACCACTCATATTGAGGATAACTCGTATGGCTGGCAAGCTACAATAAGTTGTGTGGGAGAAGCTGGGTTGTATGTAAAGCTGTTTGTTGTCCTTATTGCTCACAGAATCAATACAGCTATCTATCTCTAATTATTACTGTAAATATTTAAAGAATGTGCTTTAATTTAAAATTGCACATTATTTTAGTCACAGTTGTGGTCTTCTTCAAAACAAGTGTTTGGATTAAGTATGACTAAATGCCCAAAAGGTTTTTTTTTTTTTTTTTGTTTTTTTTAGCTGTCTTCTGTGATATTTACTGACCTTTTTTCCTTCAGTGGACTGAATTGTTCCCCTTCTGTTAACCGTCTCTCTTCTTCTCTTCAGGTGAAAGAAAAATGGATCCATCCTCTAGAGCTCGGTGAGCCACACCTGCTCCCACTGGACGATATAGGCAAAGAGAAGCTCACCGTCACTCTGATAGATGCCAACCACTGTCCAGGAGCAGTCATGTTTCTTTTTGAGGGTTACTTTGGATCAATTCTGTACACTGGTCAGTCTTCTTTAGCACATCAATTAGATAGACTTATTCAATAACGCTCTTTTTTGTGCTGCTTGACTATTATTTTAATATATGTTTAAACTTCACTTTTCAGGTGATTTCAGGTTCTCTCCTGTTATGCTTCGTGAGCCATGTTTACAGACCAACACTACTATTGACATTCTCTATTTGGACAACACAAATTGTGACCCCAACCGCATTTTGCCATCCAGACAAAAAGCCACTCAACAAATCAAAGAAATCATCCGAAGTCATCCCGATCACTCTATTGTTATAGGTAAGCTTACAGAGAAGCTTCAAAGCTGTACAGACCAGGTAAATGGCCAAGCACAAACAAATAAACTACAGTGTTATAAAAGTCTTGATATCCCTATGACTTTTGAATAATTTGTCATGTTGCAGCCTTAAACTTCTGTGTAGCATTTATCAGAATATATAAGTAGCGTCCCTTGAAAAACCTGAAATAAGCCTGAATTTCTTTATATATATATATATATATATATATATATATATATATAGTATACTAGGGCTGCAACTATTGATTATTTTGCAAATCGATTAATCTGTCAATAATTTTTTTGATTCATAATCGGACAGCCAGAGATTCTTTAAAGAAGTCTTTTAATGAAATTAAACCTGGTAAAAGTCAAACTTTTCAATGTTAGTTCTGGATAGGGCATATTGACAAACAAAAAGTGTTTTTTTATCCTAAATGCAAAATGTTTCTACATTCTTTTTTACAATCTTGGTATAACTACTGCTCTAAGTGGGTTGCTCTGTCAACTAAAGGAATGTTTTACAGTCTCTATGCTCCAGTTAATGATTAATCGATTACTAAATAAGTTTATGTTTACTTAAATAATCGATTCATCTGGGAAATTTAAGAACTACATTTTCACAAATCTACATGAAACGTCATGCAGAGAAATGTGATTTTAAGTGGTATCTCACAGCATAAATAGGCTTATATACTCTCTACTAATATGTGAAGATTAGTCCCCAAAAACTGGTCTGTTATAGTTACTTAAAGGCGTAGTGGAGAATTGTTTGCAAATTTTTGAAAAGACCTGCTCTCTCCACCTTAAAAAGAAATGCACATGTACAACCCTGTACCTGCTCCCGAGAGGGGACGCCTATTAAATGTGTGTGAGAGCGTGCAAAAGCCTATTTGTCTTTGTGCATACTCTGTTGAAATACAAACTTACTTTCCAAAAGGAGATTTGCAATTTTAGAAAGCAATTTTTCCACCAAAACTCTAAACTTAAGGGAATAAGAAATATCAAAACATTAGGAATATGTTTAAAAGTTCCCTTTTTGTTTATATTTCAAACCTTTTTCTCATTAGTGTGCGAGAGGGCAGGCAGTTCTCCGCAGCCAGGTATTTCTTGGCATAGGGTTAGGTGAAAATGGGGAGGAGCACGTAGGATGGCCTTACATAAACATCACCAGAATGACAATTAGGAGGACTGCTTATTTTGATGATGCACCCAGAAAAGGAACATCCTCCACTATACCTTTAAGGGACAAAAATAATATAATTTTTATTATTTAAAGTCACCTAAGATCTAGATCAGGTATCCTTAATTCCGGTCCCAGAAGTCCTGTGTCCTGCACCTTATAGGTGTGTCGCTGTGACCTCACCTGAATCAGATGGCTGAATGACCTCTTCAGCATGCAATGAGTTCTCCACAGTCCTGCTGGACTGGAATCAATGAACCCTGAAACTTGCTGAAAGCTTAATGAATGAAATAATATAAAAAAAAGTCTACTTTCAGTACGAATTTGATGAAACCACACTAGAATTTTCCAAACCACTAACTTGTTTTACCGTCTGACAGGCGTGTATGCTTTGGGTAAGGAGACGCTGCTGGTGGAGCTAGCGATGGAGTTTAAAACCTGGGTTGAGGTGAGTGTTGAAAGAATGGAAACCATCATGGCTCTGGAGCTTCCTGACGTCTTCACCACTGAGCCAGGGGCTGGCCGTATCCGAGCAGTGGAGCAGTCCAGGATTTGCTCTTCGGCGTTGCTTGAGTGGAACAAAGAACAACCCACATTGGCCATTATACCCACCAGCAGACCCCTTGTGTCCTTCCACCCTAATGTCCATGTTGTGCCCTATTCTGACCACTCTTCCTACCAAGAACTAGATGATTTTGTCTCTGCACTGAAACCTTATTCTGTTGTGCCAATTGTGGGACGATGCCTACCTGGAGGTCTGTCTGCTCTACTGCCCCACAACAAACGCAGGGAAATCCACATACCCGAGTCAGTCCAGCTGTACATGTTGAGACAACCGGAAAGGCAGCTCAGGTCCTCAGCATATGTTGGCCTTGGTTGCAGAAATCTCAGACCTGTTGCTCCCAGAGGAGTTGTATTTGATACTCCTGTGGAAGAATTCAGAAAATCGTATGTAGAAGCCTGGGAGGCAGAGAGCGAGGAGCAGGACGAATCTGAGGAGGTTATGGACACAGAAAGCAGCGAAACCGATTATGACTGTATTCTTATCGATCCGAGCATAAAACTCACACCTAACAGAGACGGAGAAGGAACTGATGATCGAATGGTTTCTGAAGAATTGACGATGATGGAATCAGTGAAACTTGGTCAAATCAACAAGAGCGGCTTTGGTCCTGTAGGCACTCTGGAAAACTCCAAGTCACGCTTAAAAACCACCACTACAAGGCAACAGTTTGAACACTTTCACAGCAACATTTCAGCTTCATCTGAACACAGCCCTGATAGAGCCTCAATGACTTCATCCAGCAGCTCCACTGGGTTATCACGGCAGTCTGTAGAGGCACATGAAAACAACCTTTTGAAGTGTGTCCTCATGTCAGAGAACGATTTCAAGCCTAGGGGCTTACTTTCTCGTGAATTTGTGCGCAAGTTTACCCTCTCACCTCTGAAGAGTGCATCTGATTAACAAGATGCTTAGGATTATCTTGGTGGCTTTTTCTGTTCTTTTATTGTGAAAACTATAAAATCATTACTGCCTGTTTTTTCTTATTTTCCCTTACTGTTTGTGGTGGATTTTGATCCTTACTAAGAAACAGTATCAGACAGGATGTGCTTTTACATCAGTTGTGCTAATACGTTTGTCTGATGCTTTTATTAATGTTCGCTCTGTGGGTACTGTGCACACCGCTTGGATGTTGACCAGGCATCTACTGCGTTACACTGAGAACAAGGAGACTATTTAATGAGGTTACTGCAGGGTCTGCCCTGGATTTCGTCTTGCCCCAGTATCTCGTATAATTCCCTGCATTTTGACCTGTTGGGGATCAGCAGAAAGAGCAGCTTGACTCCGTCTGAAGCGATTTTACTTTACACTCTTGCCTTGAAAACATGGCCAAATAACTGAAGTGTGGTTTCAAATGTTGTGTTGTGTTTTGAACATTTTTTGACAACAAACACCTTTCCTGATGTTGCTAATAGATCTACAGCAAATATCTTAGATGACAAATTAATACACATGTAAGCTAATGTAAAGAATAGTTTGTTTTTGTCCCCATTTGATGTAAACTTTGTGCTTGTATTTGTGTCAGAGTCGAGCATTTGAGCTTAGCCTCCACATCTGTCAGTGCCTGTGGCATCTAATATTTTCATTGTTTATAGTAAAAGTATTTTGCACTTATAATTAATGCTGAGGAAATGATTGCTCCTAGTAATTAACATTTTTTTTGTGAGTATTTAAAAGTATGAAAAGTGCCAGATGCAGATGGAGCTTATGTTTGTTAAGTCAGATGCATGTGTTAATCATTATATTGTTTTTCTCTACACTATCCGCTTTGACCTGAATGGTGGTTAAGATTTTTCTTTCTCCAGATGAGCTTAAATAAAAAAAATAAATGAATTTAAGCAATGCAATTAAAATGGTTTGTAGATGTTGGTTTTTAATTAGGATAAACTGGTTTGCAATTAATAGGATTGGTAATAATTAGTTGGGATATGTCTACAAACATTGGAAAGGGTAATGCAAACACAATAGCTTCAGAGGTTCTGAAATTCAGAGATGGAAAAGATTCTCTAATGAAAAGGGAATATTGCCTTTTAAAACAATGCAGCATAACCCACTGTATATTGGACTGTTACCTTTTTTTGTTTTTAAAATCAGTTTATTATTGTAGGGATCACCAGTAAAGACATGTTAAATTTCTATGGTTAATTTTTATTAATCTGCCTATTTGGACTTAATTTTTCAGCCATTAAGCTTATTCAGGTATTTTGGTTAAGTACAGAGCAAGCTATACGACTTATTGTCACGTGTTAATCACTGTGCTTCTGCCCACCTTGTATCTCCATTAAAGTTACATGAGCAACATTGACGTTCCACAATAGTAAGAATCTGTGATGACTACAAGTCAGTGCCCCAAGTTTTGTTTTTGTGTCATCTTTGAAAATTTGAATAACAGAATGTTGTATTGCGTACTTGCTGTAGAACTGGACATAAACATTAGGCATGCGTTAAAGTACAGAAAAGCCATGCATTCGTCCAACTACATGTACCTAGTATTTTCTATTGGAAAATATCCCTTCCCTGTAGTTGTACCTCTACATACATGAACCAAATTTAAGCTTTCATTATCTTCTGTATAAGATGCATTCCCCTGACCATGGTATACAATACATCACAAAGTACTTAAAAGAAACATTGGAAAATTTTAAAAATGCATCAGAAAACAATCCTGTTAAGTTAATATTAAATGGATAATGGATTACTGAGAAAGACCATATCAATCATGATTCTGAAGAACTCATGGTAGAATATGCTTAAATGTCACTGCAGCAATTCAAAGTAGTCTGTATGGCCCCATGTGCTTGTATGCATGCCTGATAATGTCAGGGTATGCTCCTTGTGAGATGATATATGGTGTCCTTGGGTCTGTGCTTCCAAATCCTGACTGGGGCACCACTAAGCTACTGGACATTTTTTGTTAGTACCTAATCTGTGTGGGTCAGGACCAGTCAGGTCAGTCCAATTAGATATGCTACATGTTTGATTACAACAGAGATTCTCAGTGGGGGAGGGATCTTTAAATGGAAGGTGTCCCTTCAGTCTGCGGTGATGCGATTTGCAGAGGCAACAGCCAAAACTGCTTCTCAGTTTCTGGCTGTGGTAAGATTCCAAGTAAAAGGCAACTGTCAGTGAGGGCTGTTACAGCTAGATGAACCACCCTGGATAAGTACGAGAGGGAGAGGCCAAATGGAAGGATAGGAGCTTGAGCAAATGTGACAATAATGTACCTCAAGCTAGCTCGCCATAATGCTGCTTATGCACAGAAAAGACAGCATAAAATGATTAGTTTTAAATAGTTATTGAAATATGCTGCAAATAATGACGGCATCCCTAAACAATCATCATCTGGTAGTCCTGTTGTTTTCTGTTTGACTCGAAACCATTGGAACCCTAAGCAAGTAGGAACTGAAACTAGTAACTGTTCCACATCATTGTGACTAATGGAAAATCCAATAAAGCTTTGAGCTATAGTCAGCGGCTGAGTTGGTGCTGGTAAAATGTTGGCACTGGTGGAGTCAGATGTAAACCTGATGTCTCAGAGATGTGCTAATGCACTAAGCTCAGGAAGGCATAGAGTTAAGTCAGTGGTTTCAGATCTTCACTATTGCCTCCTAAGTCCATGTATTATTTTGCACCAAGATAAACCCGGTCCTAATTCTTTAGCAAATGGTCTGACATTGGGTACAAGGATTTTACCTCAAACCTAGTAGTAGTCAGGATGCAAGTTGTCTGTGCATTCCTCCATCATTATGCCTCCTGAAACACCACCACATCAATCACACTGAAGTATCACAGGCAGCATAATGTTCACAGCTTCGTTAGATCCATTCACATCTGTCACACAAGAAGAGTAAACCTGCTCCATCTGTTTAGTGCCAATACTGAACCTGCCAATTAGGGTTTTTTCTGGCAAATTGAAGTTGAGCTTGTTGGTACTGGACCATGAGTAGGTATTAGAGGGCATCTGGCCAACCACCATTAAGTCCTTTCCAAATAGTTTGGTCAGATGATACCAGTGGCATACTGGAGGTCACTCTGTAGGGCTCAGGTTGTTCCAGTCCTACTTGCCCAAAGAAGCGGAGATTGGTCCTACACGATGGATTAAGGACTTCAAATGCCCAGTATAGTCTCCTGAAATAACTGTCTCCTGGAATCTCCTCAGTACTGTGCTGTAAGATATTGCAAACCTTCTGCAATGTCATTTATTGATTTGCCTCTCTGCCTGTACAAAGTCTTTAAGGTCCAAGTATCACCTCATGCTACAGTACCAGTTGTGACACTGTCCACGGTAAAAATGCAAAATTAGAAGGATTGAGAAAGAAGATTGGAAATGTCTGTGGCCTCCACCAACGAATTCATCCCTGTCGCTGCCCTTGACTCAGTGTTTGGTCTTTAGGGAGCTTGTTCTAGATTTTATCAACACCAAAGCTGACACTAATTAACAACCCCATTTCCTGATAAACTGTAAAGATCATTATTATAGAAGTTGGACTGACTTGATAGGGTATTCTCCATTTAAAAATAGTTTTTTTTTTTGGGGGGGGGGGCTCTATGTGTCTTAATAATATCAGGACTGTTTTATATATTCTATTTTACGTTGTACCGTCATTTTATTAAATCCTACAGCTGTTAAAGCTATAGGATCTATGTGGCAATTTTCTCTCGCTTGATATTTAGAGCTCTACCCAGTAAGGATTTTTAATTTGCCCAGTCACACAAATTCATATTTAAATATATTTAACATCTTGTGCTGCTTTCAGTTTTGGTGTTATGAATTAATGTTTTAAATGTCTGAAGATCAATTCAGCTTGTTGGGAGGGGTCCTATCTACAACAGATGTCAAACATGACAACTATGATTTATTGAAAAACATTGAAAGGTCCAGAGAGACTCAGAAGCAACATTATGACAGATGACAAAGAGATTTATTTTTATTTTTTTTTATTTTATTCTCTATTATCATACAGCCCTAATATGAGTTTAGCATTTGTTCCTCTTTTTCAAGAGGGGTTTATCTTTAAAGGTAGGGCTTTAAAAATGAACTATGCAAGAGGTGAAAACCTGTGGCAGTGATATCCTTCTCCCCCAGATGGCAGTAGTTTGTTAAAAAAAAATGTGGACCTTTTGTTGTAGATTTTAACAGAAAATAAAAGTCAGATCTTAATGATCCCCCCGTTTCTTCCAGTCTTATAAAAACAAGCTTACCGAACCCATGATTGTATTCTATCAATAACGTTGTTTCAACCAACACTGTCATGTACACTATATTGTGGCATTCTGCGGGTTATCTATCACACAGACTGACGACTGATGGTTTTTATGCCAGATATCAGAGGTAGTTTAAAATAATGGTAGATTGTGAAACATCCAAAGAAGTTTGCAGAACTGCATGTACACACTAACATAGAGCATGTACAAGTCCTCTAGAACAACACAATGACTGATGCTTTGAATGAACTGCACAACAAATCCAGCTGTATAAATATTCTCAGCTGGCTTTGATCCCAACTCATTCCTTCAAGCTGGACTCAGAGAGGATGTCCCTTGTCACAGCTCTCTGAGGTATCATCTGGCGGCATGATCATAAAGCCACCATCGGTGGGCGGTGGGGCCGTCATGAGCTGCCAACAGGAGTGTGCTCAGTTTCCTTCTGTGCTTATAAAGGATACATGATCGGTTACTACGTGACTTTTCCTAGGGTTGTGCAGCAAACAGCACTAAAGCGGATGGATGGATGGATGGATGGATGGATGGATGGATGGATGGATGGATGGATGGATGGATGGATGGATGGATCAGTAAATGTGGATAAAAACACAAAGCAAACTTTAAATTATATTTTAAAACCACCAACCTTAGTTCATTTTATTAGGACTTTATATGACAGAGAAAACTGTCAATATAAGAAAAAAAGTTGCATCATTTTAAAATTTAACAAAACGACAAACAAACTAAAAGTTTGGTCTAAATATGTTTTTACAACCTTTAACCTGATAGAACCCAGAAAAAACACTATCCA